GAAAAGGTTGAGTCCATATCAAAGAACTGAACCTTGAAGAAGGCGCTGAAGAATCATGCTCGCCCCATGAGAGAGACAGCATTTGGGTGCCAGTCATATAGAAGGCATTCACAGCCAAGAGCACTTACGGCAGTATCAAAAAGTAAAAGAGACAAGGGACTGAGGAAAGAGAGGCCAGGCAGAGGAAAGAGCATTATCTGTGTTCTCAGACATGCTATCAAACCATCCCAGTGGAAACCTAAGAAGAACCCCTAAATGAAACCAAGAGAGAAAGAGCCAATTTTAGGCATCTGCCATGTGCAGAGAAGACAAAGGCATTTTATGACTGCATCTGTAAAGCAGTATCTTGCCCACCTCCAATCCCACCCTCTTCATCCTTGGAGAAGAAACTGTGGTTAGCAAAATGGGAAAGGAGATGTAGAAGCCTATAGAACAGAAAGAGAAGGAGTATACTTGCTTCTCTGACTTTTTAAAATATATTTTAATTGATATCAGAGAGGAAAGAAGAGGCAGAGATAGAAACATTAATGATTAGAGGGAAAACATCAATGATGAGAGAGAATCATTTGATCGGCTGTCTTCTGCATGCCCCCTACTGGGATCCAGCCTGAACCCTAAGCATGTGTCCTCAACTGGAATCAAACTGTAACCTCCTGGTTCATAGGTTGACGTTCAACCACTGAGCCACACTGGCTGGGCTGCTTCTTTGACTTTAAACTCCTCACTAATGAGAGAGAACAAGGTATAACTTTAAATCAAGTTCTGAGTTTTGATTATTTTATGGGACTGCTGGTTATCTCCCCAACCTTTTTTCTAAAGATTTTAGCTAGGTACAAGACTGCTTAGAATATGCCCACATTCCCCAGTCTCCCTTGCAGGTAAACACAGTAATGTGATTGATTAAGTTCTTGCCAATGGGCTGTGAACACAAGTGATGTTAACAACTTCTGGATTGTGCTCTTGAAGGAAATGGGTAGGCCTTCTCCTTCTCAATGACAGGAATGTGATGTGGCGCTGGGCCCTTCTGGACCAAATAAACTAGGACAACAGTCTAGGGATGGTGGAGCAAGAAGACAGAAGGAGACTAACTCCTGCTCACTTTGTGGAACAAAGTTGCTTTTTCCATGTAATAGGCAAAACTCTCAGTGCCACATTACAATGCACATTTATTTCTCACTCGTGGGTTGGGGAGTTGTCTGGGCAGTTCTGTTTGATATGAAACCCTGAATTTGCAGCAGGCTCTCTACAAATGTTTTAACATGATGGTCCCCACTGTATGGGATGTGCAACAGGAGTGAATGGCCCCTTTCTGACCACATCCAGCTTCAAAAATGAGTGGCTCTTAACACCCAAACTGCTCTGCTTCAAGATGTGGGTCAAATTCAGCTCTGCCCTACATGTGTCATTCTCATCACCAGGTAGGGAGGAGATTAGAAGCTCTCAGGACAGTGGTGGTTTCTTCCCATAGCAACAATTGGATCCAGTTTGCCCATACTAGTGGAAACAGCATCTTGAGGCCCCCTCAGAGACACCAGCACCATAAGATGGTGCTCCCTCCTCATAGGTCTGAGTTTCAGCTCCACAAGGCTGTCCTCTAAATGTCTAAATTATAATAATCCCTACCTCTTCCCTTAATACCCCAAGCTCTAGGCATAGTAGCTGCCTCCTGCAGTTGCTATCTTCGCAATACATTGAGCTCTCTTCTTGCTTTTTCAGTTATTTAATGATCAATTCTTTATATTAAACGCTTTGTTAAAATAATCGAGGTGGTTTATTTCCTGACAGCACCCTAATTCACTGTAGTAAATCCTATGCCTGTGAGACTCCCCTTAAGAATTTTCTGTTTGACATATTTCATGACAGCCCACTCCCAGTATCTTCATTCCCCTGCACTCATTTTTTTTAATCAAAGAATTTACTGTGAACTGTCATTGTTTGTTTTCTCATCCATCCCCATCTCAGCCCAATAGCTCCCTGAGGTCAGAGCACATCTGTTTCCTTAGCACCTGGCATATAGGAAACTGAACGACACACGTTTGAATGAATGACCAAATGAATGAGCGAGGAAAAATAAAACAGGAACAGAAGCAGTTAATAGTATGAGATTTGGAAGGTTCACAAAACGCCAAAATGAAAGAGAAAGTTAGATGGGGCTGTGAGAAACAGGAGGGCTGTGGCTGCCAGCTGCGAGCCCAGCTCTGAGCACATATTAAGTTCTCAATAAATAACGCGCATCGACCACAGGATGAAAGTACAGCTGAGACTCTGCAAAGAATACTCATACTCGGTGACAGGGAGGATAAGAAGGCTGGAGAACTCCCGGGGACATCAAAGTAGTATTGGCCCTTTGGGCTCTAGAGGGATGACCCAGCCCTAAGGGACGCCTCTCACTTCGCCGACGGGTAGTGCCCAGCCCTTTCCGGAGTTTCATTCTGGTTCCTCCGCCCCCTCTTTCACCGCTCCGCGCCCCAGAGGAAACAGGTAAGACACGGAGCACTGGGGGTGCTAGTGAAGGGGCTTTTTTGGGCATGCGTTCTCCACCCGCCGCCCCCGCGCACGCGCAATAACCTGCTGTGAGGAGCACTGCCCCTTGGCCGATAAGGGCGAGCGGTCGCTCAGAAGCCCGCTCCGACTCCTCTTAACTGACCACCTTTCCCGTGGCCCCCGCCCTCCCGTGATTGGGGGGGAAGGCTCGCGAGATCGCCCTCGGCAGTCTCCGACGGCGCCATCTTTGTGCCTGGCGAGCGACGGCGCCCACTGGGAGATCCGAAGCCGGCAGTTCGCACGACAAGCTCTTGCTGAGAGCGGATCCCGGAAATACGAGGCGGGCCTCGGTGGGAGGGACGCACTGAGGGAGGAGGGAGGAAAGGGGGCGGTGGCGGCGGCC